ATCATTAAAAAGCTTATTCTTCTTAAATGTAAGTCGAAAGAGCAGAATGCTCTTTTGATAATTTGGATGGTGAGCTAAAGAATGTAACAAAATCAAATAATGATCTGGAGCTTATTACTGACACTTGGCATCTTTCTACTTTAAGGTTGGAGTGCTTAAATCTCATTGCTCAAACTTGTGGTCTATTAGCAAAAAAATTAAAATCCTTATAGAGGTTAAAGGCATGAGCAATTTGGTGTAAACTAGGTGATTGTAATACAAAATATTTCTACTTAACAACTTTAATTAGAGGGAAATGCAATGCTATTGCTAAAATATCTATGGGTAGGCAGAATCATATTGACTCGAATGGTATCAAGTCTGAAGCAGTTCATTTTCTCGCATGCTTATTCTCTTTATATTTTTATAACCGACCTTACCTAAGTTGCCATAGTTTTAGAAAGCTTAATAGTACTTCTGCTTGTGATCTTTAGAAGATGTTGTCTATGGAGGAGTGAAGAATGCAATTTGGAGTTGTGACGGATTAAAGGTGACAAGTCTTGAAGAATATAATTTTAATTTTTAAGAACATGTTTGAGACTTGATTGATGGTGATATTTATGATACGGTGCATTTAAGTTTTTTAGGACAAGATCAATGCCAAAAGGTATTAACAATGCCTTTCTTACTTTAGTTCTCAAAAACCCAAAACCAGAGTGTTTTTCTCCATTAGTCTTGTTACTGATTTTTGGAAGATTATCTCTACAATACTAGCTTCTAAACTTAAAAATGTTATGCATGAAGTTATTAAGGATGCCCAATCAACTTTTGTTCCTGGTAGATAAATTTTGAATGGAACTTTGTTAGCTAATGAGGTTGTCTGTAGTATAAAAAGAGAGAGGACTCATTGAGTTTATCTACAAAATTGATTGTTAGAAGGCCTTTGATTCAATCTTGTAGGAAAATTTGTTATAGATTATGAATTATCTGGGTTTTGGGATCAAATGGAGGAATAGAATATCACAGTGCATCATCACTACAAGGGTGTCAGTTTTTGATAAACAAGTATCCTAATTTAAAGTTTATTATGTTCGAAGGCATTTGACCAAATAATCCTCTATCGTCATTTTCTCTTTAACTTTGTTATAGAAGGTCTCTGGATTTTGTTCACTAGAACTACCCAAAGTAGTCTCTTTACTGGTATTTTTTTAGTCTACATGGCCATTTCTGCAGATGATACTATGATTTGGAAGTCTTGCTGAACGTTGAGAGAATAATAAGGTGATTTGAGTTTTATTCGAGTTTAAAAGTCAATTTTCATAAAAGCTTCCTAGTTGGCGTTAATGTGGATTTTGATTTTTATTTTGGTACGACAACTTATTTAAGATGTAAACCAAAATCTTTGCCTTTCGTATGTCTTGGTTTGTCTTTAGGCACAAACTCAAGGCATAATTCTACTTAGAAGCAAGTGATAGAATAGGTCAGAAAAGGACTTCAATCTTGGAAGGGAAAGCCTCTGTGCGGGGGAGGAATATACTTATTAGAATAGTCTAAGCATCCGAGATAAAATGTATACAGAACTTCTAAACTACCGATCATTGTTATTTACATCTTTTATAGTTTTTTCTTTTGATTTTAATACATGAACTACTATTCATTATTGAAACTTCACCATTCCAACCATCAAATTACTTTAAAAGATCACCAAGACAATTCTTTTAACTTCCCAAACATTCTAAAATAAAAAATCATTTTAAAACTCAAATTCAACACACAATTTTGGATTTTAGTCTTTAAATATATAATTTTCACATCTTTAACCATCCAAATCTAACATGTAAGTTTCTATAATAAAAACTAGAAACAATTTTCTAATGATAGAAGAAATATCAAAACAAGATTTTTGATTAAAAATCAAGAATTATTCTATTTTGAAGGGCATTAATTTATTATTATTATTATTATTATTTAAGTCTAATACAAGGGGTAGCAAATTCTTCAAATGATGAAAGACCCAATTGCAAAAGCTCGTCCAAGTTAAACATAAACAAATTATTAAAAGAATAATGTTAGAGATACTCGAGATTTTATTTACTATAATGTGTGGTAATATTACTATAAAAGCTATTAAATAGCAACAAAAAATCAACAATGAATAATAAATTATCAATATACAATGATGAATTTGCAAGAAAAAATAATAATTGTTATCGATTTCTAAACATTAGGGTTGATAGCGACGAAATACGGACTAATTACCAACGTAACTTCAACGTTAGAACACTTTCATCGTTAAATAACATAGTAAATTCTTTTACGGTTATTTTAGTGATAGATTACCAACTAAATTGCAATGGCATTTAGCGTTTCCATCACCGATGTTGGATCCTTTTTTTCCTCTTATTTAGCGATGAAATTTTTTATCACTAAACCTTTTATTCTCTCACCAATTATCAATGGAATTTTTTCATCATTAAAAAGTCAAATGTAGTGATGAAACTATTCGTCCACGATAAGTAAAAAATTAGCACAATTTTGGAATTTTCAAACAACAACATATACTTATTTTAGTAAATAAATAAAAAAGCATAATTTAGCAACGAAGTCACATCTATCACTAAAAAAAATTCCTAAATCAAACAAAATCTCCTGCTTCCCCCATTTTCTTCTCTCTTCTCCTACCAAAACTCTTGTTGCCACCTCTTTTAACCCCCCTACATCACCTCACAAATTAGTCTCCACTCGTATTCCAATGGTCACCGACCACTCTAGTTGTCTCCTCTCCCAAAATAACAATTGTCTCCTCCCTTAAAAAGAGTATGTTACGCCACGAGGACTACCGTCGCCGACCCTTCCTCCTTACTCTAGTAGCTACTAGCTACTCTAGCCATTGACTCCAACCACTCCAACCACTTGTCTCCAAAAGAGGTAAGTTTTTCTTCTTCTTCTTCTTCTTCTTTTACCTATTTGATTTATTATTGATTTTTATAGATGAAATTATTTGTTAGTAAATATGTTAGTAAATTCAAATTTATATTGTTTAAAATTTAATTGAGTATTTTTTTTTATCGAAATTGTCATGAATTAATTAGGTTTGGTTGTTGATAAATTAGAATAAAATTTTAAGTTTGTAATTTGTTATATAATGATTAAAAAAAAAAAGGTGGGTTATTTGATAATTAAGTTATTAGAAAGACAATAGAATGTTAAATTTAAAATTAAGGATTTATTTTAAAATTGACATAATATAAGAGCATTCAAATTTAAGATTTTAAAATTGATAAATTAATTTTTAGTCAAATTTGTTTGATATAAATAAATAATGAGTTGTTGTATGAATTGTGATATTAATTATTCATATATAAATTTGTTTTAGTTAGCCAATCATGTCACTTGTCGATATGTAGCATTGCTATAGTCAATTCAACCACTCCAACAACTTTCCAGCCACTCCTATTCGTTAGATAAGTTATCAAAACTCTAATTCATAATTTATGTCATAGAATAATTTTCAATTAATTGTGCCAATTGAAATTGAATTTATTTTACTAATAATTGTTGAAGCATGTCGAGATATGCCATAGTGTATCGAATAAGAGAAATCGGATGATTAATTTGTTACAATTTAAAACTCAAATTGAATACACAAATTTGGATTTTAGTTTTTATATATATAATTTTCAATTCTTTAACCATCCAAATCTAATCTGTAAGTTTTTATAATAAAATCTAACATGTAAGTTTCTATAATAAGAACTAGGATCAATTTTCTAATGGTTAGAAGAAATATCAAAACAAGATTTTGGATTAAAAATCAAGAATTTTTCCATTTTTAAAGGTATCAATTTATTATTATTATTATTATAGTCTAATATAAGGGGTAGCAAATTCTTCAAATGAAAGATCCACTTGCAATAATTGTCCATGGGACATCAAACTCATAAATAGCGGCACTATTTCATGAAACATCAAACTCATATATGTATGATTCTAGGTGTAGTTTCAGTGAGGTTTTTTTAACTTAGTGAATCTAGCCCCCCAAATCTACTTGTCATTGCAAATATGTATTTATTCCATGGTAGCTTTCTTCCTAAGCTTTGGATGAACCTTGATGCCAATGTAAAGCTCTACCTTCAAGGAAGAAGGATGCATGCTAGACCTTTTCATACTCATCCATAGGTTCGATTTTCAAAAAACTAGTTGCACTTGAACAACCATTTGTATTAATATCTTCCCCTTCAAAAGCTGGGAAGTCTGTTTTTGGTTTTTTAGGTTTGTAGGTGTAGTTAAAACCTGAGCATTTATTATTGGTTTTGTAGGGCGTATTGTTTGTGGTCTGTGGGAAGAAGAGGTGAAACATGTTTGCAGGAGGTGTGGGTAAGATAGGTTCATGTTGATGGTTGTGGATTGAACACCCTGAGGAATGGGTGAAGGTATACTAGCAGATAGAGCTAGATGGAGTTGTGAGTCGTGTGACTGTTTGTTTGTTGGGTGGTGGAAGAAGCCATGAAGGCACTGAGTAAGTTTTTGAGCTCTTCGAAACCTTCCTCTTGTTGCTTTCATTTTTTCTGTTGTTTCTTGGGCTAATAGTTTCATTGATTCCTCTAATTTGTGCAGGTCATCATCTTTGCATTCTTTGTCATGGAAGTAATTCCAAGAACAGCTTTGCTCTGATACCAGTTGATACACGAAAAATTCGTAGAAAGAAGAAGAAGACCGAGAAGTGGAGAAAGGGAGAAGAGAGAGAGAGAGAGAGAGAGGACAAAGTTTGTTATATCTTTCCTTCTTTTGTCTATTGCTTATATCTTATACCGTGGAAACAACAATCAGCTAATAAAAATACTACTAGCAGGCCTACTGAATCATCATGGACTTAGCAGACCCAAGCCCCTTTTCAAGTAGATCCATAGCCTTGAGAACATGCTGAGTACACTTCTCTTAGATACTGGCCCTCTTCGTCTTCCACCCTTCAATTGAATTCCCCCCTCTTTCCAATTTCCAACTCTTTGTTTCCATCAGTCCTATTCCAACTCTCTGTTTTCATCAGCTCTGTTCCTCTTCATCTTCTCCCCATCATTCCCTGTATCACCATCAAAACTAATGGGAAGCACATCAATAATGTTCCCGTCAGGAATGTCAATCATTCTCTTAATTGCACTTTCCCATTCACTTATACCTCTTCTGTGCAAAAAAGAACCTATGACTTCAAGAGCTAATGGAAGGCCATTAGCATAACCCACAACTTGCTTGGACATTTCCCAGAAATCTTCGGCAGGTTGCTCTTCTTTGAAAGCTTTCCAACAAAATAACTTAAGAGCATCAACATCATTTAATTTATCGGCCTCGTAGATTCTAGTAACTCCATGTTTCTCCAACATTCTTTTATTTCTGCTCGTTATGATAATTCGGCTCCCTGGACCAAACCATCCATACTCTGCAGCCAACATTTCTAGCTGTTCTTGATCATCTACATCATCAAGAATAAGAAGAACCTTTTTACGCCGCAACTTTCGCTTTATCAAATTGATCCCTCTAGAAGAATCCAATACTTTATTAGCAGACACCATTAAGATTTCTGAAAGCAGTTGTTCCTGTAAACGACACGGTCCATCTTTATCAGCAAAAACTTCTCTCACATTGGCTAAGAAGCAGCTGCCTTCGAATTGCCAACGAATCCTATCGAACATGACTCTTGCAATAGTCGTTTTGCCTATACCACCCATTCCACAAATCCCTATAAAGGGAATCCCATTTGCTTCTTCGCCTATATAATCATTCACGACCTTTAGACGAGAATCTATTCCAACTAAATTTTTGCTACTTGTTGGCAAAGTGACGTTTAGTTTGTATTGTATATATTCAACAATCTTTTTGATAGGTTCCGACTCATTCCTGCATAAAAGGAGCAAAAACATTAATCATGCAATGTACAAAAATCAGGTCATACAGAAGGGTAAAAGAAACAATAAAATATTGTTACATGACATTTTAAGAATAGAAAATAGTAATGTATAAACAATGTAAGTAATTTTAATCATTTGACCTGAAAATCTTATCAAAAAAATATATATATATATATTAAAAACTTAAAGTATATTAAAAAATAAAATTAATTCAATTAAAGATATAAATATATATTGAAAAATTATTTTATTATATAATAATAAATTGAACAAATTACTCTCAGTTATTTCCCAACCAAAAGTTTAATTTCTTTAAAACTTCTTAATTGCCCTATAAAATGTGAATTTATCAATTTATATTGCAATTATTTATCTTTCTATCTAAAAGATCTTTTTAGTATTATTATTATTATTATATAAAAAAGTTTGAACTCAAAACATTTTAAAACATATCAAAGAAAGAAATGATATTAATATTAATTGAATTATGATTGCATCAACATTAAAAAATATCCTTTGACATATAATCATTGGTATATAATCTTTTTCTAAACATTTTTTATATATCGTCACTTGTCAAGCTCATCACGAAAACTCAACCACTAACGTTAAAGTAACCTATTAAATATAGTACCAAGTAACCCTTCAAGAATTCCTTAAATTGACCATGAAAACTCAACTACTTTATTATATATATATATATATATATATATATAAGCCATGTAAATTACAAATCAGCTTACTTCTAGCCATTACAACTCAACTACCTAAATGAATAGCTTTTCAATCATTTAATTAATTAGAAAAAAAAAACACATGGAGTGAGAATATCAATTTATGAGGTGGAACTAATAACTACTTCCGAAAAAAAAAAATCAGCTTTACCTGTTTCGTACATCCCAACCAGAGAGATTGGCAACTGTAGCGAGACAATCTTTCCATCTGCGCACCTTCTCCAAATCATTTCTAAAATTTTGTTCATGCTCTATGAACAGTTCCTTATAATTCCCTTTCTGCTCGGCTACCTCCGATGGATCCACATCATAAAAAACTGGCAAAACAGTTTGCCCCATCTCTTTCATGCACTCAACAATCTTGACAAGTTCATCTAAGCACCATGGTGAAGAAGCATAATTTCTTGAAAATACAATGACTGAAAATCTTGAATCTTCGATGGCCTTCCATAGAGCAGGTTCGATGGACTTTCCTCTCTCTAGCTCCCTATCATCCATGTATGCCTCGATTCTTGCCTGTTCCAGATTAGAATATAGATGGCTAGTAAATTTATCCCGGGTGTCTTTGCCTCTAAAACTGAGGAACACATCATACTCCCATTGTGGAGAAGAAGAGCCGGTGGAAGCCATGGAAATCCCAACAGCAATAAATTAATACTGATCCCTTCTAGTCTCAAGTAGCTATAGGATGGTTCAGCAATTGGTTAATTTCCATGCCATTTTATACATAGCCTTCTCCTGTGTTCAAACATGAAATAAAATTTAAAGAGAGCTAGCAACGGAAGAAATTAATTTGACAATTTCAAGCTGGAACGTAATTCTACTTAAAAAAAAAAGGCCAAATTTCTACTATTTCTATGCGAAAGTAGCAGAAACAAACCGTGTGGGAAGATTTAAATAGAGAAGCGCCGGATCTAGCCAAGCCAATTTGTCCTTGTTTTCGTCTCTTCGCAACTACTTCAAGATCCTCCTATACCTCTCTGGTTCTTTTCTCGTTGCCACTCTTACACCCTCGATCTTCGCTCTCTATTTTTTTGTTCCAATACTTCGATTTTTTTTTCCCCGGTTTCTTTAGATCAAAAGCTTGTACCTGTAATTGTCCCGGATTTTTTTTTTTTTCCTTCCTGGTCGCAAAGAAGATTACTTTAAGGGGAGAAAACGCAAAAGAATATGCACGTGATATCTAACGCTCATTGGGCGCTAGCAGGCACCTTCATAGCAAATGTCAGGGTAGGCCCTCCGAGAAGTACTGTTTTATCAGCTCAGCAATACGGGTAAATGTCCGGGATTTCTTTTTTTATTTTTATTTTTTTGTTCCCTCAGACCGCAAAGAAAATCACTTTCACTGGAGAAAACGCAAAAGAAAATGTAAGTGATATCTAACGCTTATTGGCCAGCAGGCCTCTGAGAAGTACTGTTTTATCAGCTATGCGACACTTAAAGCCGTAGCCATTAGCCGCCTCAATTGACCAACTTCTTATTACCTAAAAAACTAAAAGAAGTGGGGGTGGGACTGTTCAATTATTGTAGCAGTCCCACCCGCAATTCTTTTAGTGGCTGCAGCAGTCCTTTTTTTTTTTTTTTTCTCTCACCACGTCTGGTTTTTATTTTTATTTTTTTCTCCCTTTTAGGTTGGGCTGCTGGACTTTATCGTAGCTTTTTTTTTTTTTTTCAGTTTCTATATATGTATAGGACTATTATTATTATTATTATTATTATTATTATTATTATTATAATAGGACTATTATTATATAATTAAATATATTATTTAAGTTCTTATTTATTAAAAATATATATTTTTTAAATAATAAAATTATTTATAGTTAATAATTATAATATATTATCATTATATTTTACAAAAAATATTAAATAATTATTATAAAATAGTTATTTATATTTTTATTGTGAATATTGTATTTATTATACAATATAATATTTTATTATTATTTTAAATTATGATATAAACAATATATTAATATATTGTTTTATGAATTTGAATGTATATAAAAATTGATAAGTATTTTACTAATATAATATATTTGATAATTATACCATATAATTAAATTAATATTACATTATTATTAGTTAAATATTATTTTAAATATATTGGTATAATAATATAATATTTATTAATAAATGATTTATTTAAATATCGGATGACAATAATTCTCCTTCTATATAAATTATTTATTTTTATATTTTTTATCATAAAATTAGGTGTAAAAAATATTTAAAAAGATCGCTTTTTTTAATAGTAATAGAATATATATTATGTTTTTTAAAATTTTAGTTTGAACATTTATATCCGATTATTTTATTTTTATTATTTAAAATTTATTTCTTCAATTGTTTGTTTCTTATTAAAATTCTCATCAAATTAATTTTCAAAGTTTATATAATTTTATTTTTTAATAAATTTTATTTTTTTATATATGGATTTTGAAATAAAATTTTAGAACATAATTGCTTTATTTTTTAAAATATATTATTATAATTTATACGATTGATTATTTTTATAAATTTTCAATGAAAATAACGTTATTGCATATATAAATTCGATGAGAAAGAGAGAGCTAAAAGTGTATTAATAATTAGTTAAAAAATTCATAGTTTTTATTTGGTTATATATATATATAACCAAAATTTATAAAACCAATTGTATAGTAGTTTTATTTAAATTTATTCACTTTGATATATTTCATGCAATTTAAGTAGGTTTTTTAATATATATTTTTTATTTATTTTATATACTCGAGTCTTATTTAAGTGGATCAATTTTAAAAAAAATTAATAATTAGTTAAAAATTCACAAGTTTTATTTAGTTATATATATATAATTAGAATTCATCGAAACCAAATTTATAGTTGATTTTATTTAAATCTATTTACTTCGATATATTTTATGTGATTTAGGTCTTTTTTTATATTTTTTATTTATTTTATATACTCGTAAATATGCTAAGTACAATATAAAACTAAAAGAACTGTGGTATTTCAATAGTAAATAAACAAAACCCCAATTCTTTTGTTTTTTTTTTTTCCTCCTAGGTTGACCGGCAGCCAAGGCCTAGCTCTTGGCACGCACACTCTAGGCCTTGGCTACCTAGCCTAGCCTTCTTGCTTTATATATATATATATATATATATATATAGATGGCTCATGATCGACAAACATATCTTTATGTTACAATGGCCACTTTGAAACATTTTTAATTTTTAATTTTATTACAAATTTGTAGTGGCTGATAATTTTTTAATATAATTTTTTTTTGTTAATAAATTTGATTTTTTAATATATGAATTTTGAAATAAATTTTTAGAACGTTAATGTTTTATTTAAAAAAAATATATTATTATAATTTATCCAATAAGTTTTTTTATATATATTTTCAAATGTGTGTTATATATATATACACACACACAGAGAAAAGGCTAAAGTATGTTTTAGATAGTTTGATTCAATTTTGTTTAAAAAAATAATAACGAGTTAAAAAATTCACAAGTTTATATATATATATATATATATATATATATATTTATTTATTTATTTATTTATTTATTTATTCAGAATTTATCGGAACCAATTTTGTTATAGCTTTTATTTTAACCTATTGACTTCAATATATTTCTATAATTTAGGTGGGTTTTTTTTTTGTATATTTTTCTATTTATTTTATACCCTCAATCTACTATGTGTGTGTGTATGTATATATATTTATTAGAAATTAACTATATATAGATTTAATTTATATTAATCACAAAAAATAAAACTTTTTATTAGTATTATACCATACAAATTATTAACCCTACGTATGTAACGGTTGTTTATCCGCAATGTAGCGTGGGTATCCAACTAGTAAAACATAAAATGAAAAACGATTTTTATTTTTTATTTTTTATTTTTTTTATTTTTTTATTTTTATGATGATGGGTAGGAGTTAATTAGTGGCACCCACTTCTAACAATTTATCAATTTTCTTTTAACTTGTTTGATGTTTTGGAATAGGAAAGGTTTGGGTTACAACAGTAGTTTTCCAAAACGGATAACCGCTCCTGTGTTGCAGCCACATGCCTCTTTGAAGGGAGTGCTAAAACTTTTGATGTCTTTGTCTGATTTTGGTTTTTATCAACCCTTTTATTAGTAATTTTAAATGGTTTTAGCTCTTCGGTCCACTTTTGTTCGTGATAAATTAAATGATTGACCAAATTTGTTAATTAACTTCAATGGAGGATATAGATAATGCTAAAAAAAAACTAAAAATAAAAACATTAAATTGTAGAAATTTAATAAAAAAATTAAATGTAAAATATATAAAAATAAATTGAAAATAAGCACAAAAAAGTTGATTTTTATTAATTTAAAAAACCGAAATTAATTGAAGGAGAACCAGACTCTTCCCAAAATATGTGAATATGAAATCGAAATAATCAAACAAAAGATTCCGAAACAAACACAAGTAAATTGATTTTATTGATTGAAATTTAAAATAACTTTTTAATTAAAATTATATTTAATAATGATATTAATTAATTCTTTTTGAAAAATATACTAAGGAGCATACGTAATTTTCATCCAAAAAAAAAACCCTAATATATATAATTTCTTATTGGAGGGAAAAATTCCAATTAACATAAACGTACGGTAAATATCCTTTTTAAGGTGAAAGAACTTCACGCCATTGAAAAGAAATCCAATCATTATAATAATCAATTTGTTTACACTGAAAATAAGAAGGTAAAAAAATCAACTTAAGAGATCAACAAACCACCACTAATAATAATAATAATATAATGGTACAAAAGCATATATAACAAGCTTATGTCTAAACATGTTTCACTAATATGATATATACACCTACTAACATTTATGCTCGCACTATGCTATAATTAACGTATATTAGATTTAGATCAAATTATAATATATAAATTTGGATATAATTTGTTTAATAAAACAAATCAAATTGGATTTTGAAAATGTCAATTTAGATTTGAATTTTTATATATTTAGATTGGACTCGAAATTCTATTAAATTTTAATACTTGGTTTTATGTAAAAAAATGTATTCTTACTATATTTAATTTATTATTTTAATATAAAATATATTTTTAACTACTACATCTATCTGAAAGTATATTAAAATAATATTTTATCTATCAATTTTGTAAAAAAAAAAAAATTCAAACTCGTCACACAATTCAAAAACACAAAATCAAATAATTTTCATAAAAAATTTCCATGAACTAAATAAAAAGTACAATAAAATTATTAAAAAACAACAATAAATAGTTTTCATTTTTTGTTTACATAGTAGAAAAATAAATATTTGTTATTTTGAATTCTAAAATGATAATTCTACAAGTCAAGATCCGTAAAAAAAGAAAAAAATGTTAATATTATCATATATTTGTAACAAGTTATTTCAAAAAAAATTTAACATATATGTTATTATACAAATACTAGTAATATCACATAACTATTATTGTCTTTTTTTTTTTTCAACTTTTGTTTAAACCCGATCATTGTCAATTTCTTAATAATACAAATTTTTACTATCTTAAAATTTAACCTACAACTACTTATTTTTACCTTATATTATTAAGTATTAATAATTAAAATTTTTTTGAAAAAAT